AGAGAGAGAGAGAGAGAGAGAGAGAGAGAGTAGAATAAGAAACAGAGCTTCGGAATGGGGGAGGCGTCGGTGAAGGATTCCGATTTCTCGTTGGATTCACGCCTGTGATCGCTCTAGACGTGGGCCCATTGTCCTTCTAGAAGGCCGTATCGGATGCAGCTTCCAAAGCTCGGGTGTTCATTGCGATTCGGTGTCGGACTCCTGCGGGGTTTGTGATTTTCGTGTGGCTTAATCCATCGTCTCCTCGTGTCCCTCTCGGCGAAGCGATTCCCAGTTCGGTCCCAAGTCAAAACGCTGGCGTCCTCTACTGTAACGTTGATGTCCAAGAAAACCACTCGTGTCCTTGAGCATCCAAAGCCAAATGTCTCACGTAGCAGATAAGCCCTGATCCCTGGGGTTTGTTTCGCTGCTGGATCAAAGAGGAGCAATCATTCCAGCTGTTTGTGGAATTTTAGGTGCGAAGGTGCAAGAAAGGTGGGATTTTTATCAAGTTTTTTTGGCCTTGTTCTTCCGATATCTCCCCCCCTGCGTTCTGGGCTCTCCCTTCTTTTCCAGCTGCTTGCAGCCCGGCACGTGGGTTGCGACAGCTCGAAAAGTTCATCAAAGGATGGTCTTCTCTAGGAGGTTTTTGTTCCCGGGAACCGGGGTTTAAATTTGTGTCAGTGAATTGAAAGCAGGTATCGTTTTTCCTTTCTTCTTCTTCTTTTCTTTGCCGCTCGTTTCTTTAGGAAGCCTCCACTTTGGGACTTCCTCCTCCCTTGATCTTGAGATTTTTGGTAGCGGGGGGATTTGATTTGTCCCGAGCTGGACATTCCTTGGTGGTTGTATTTGGCGTAGCTTCTTTATTTGGACTTTGGCGATTTCGCAATACAAGAGGAAATGACTGGAAGAAGAAGAAGAAGAAGAAGGAAGCTTCACCTCAGTAAATTATACAGCTTTGCAACTTGCGGTAGGTTGAGGTTCAACGAAGATCATGCTCAGATCGGAAGCCCGGGATTCTCCCGTGTGGTCTTTGCCAATGACCCTGATTGCTTCGAGGCTACCAACTTAAATTACGGATCCAACTATGTTTCCACCACCAAGTATACCTTGGCTACCTTCTTGCCCAAGTCCTTGTTTGAGCAGTTCAGGAGAGTTGCCAACATGTATTTTCTAGTTTCAGGATGCCTTTCGTTTACTCCATTGGCTCCATACA